AAAAATATTATAATAAGTATTACAAAGGGTATTACATATGTGTCCTTCCCCCCCCACCCAGGGCTGTTTCTTAATGCTATGGTGACCTTAAGTTACATTTATAATATTTCCAGGAATGTTTTTTAGTGCTTTTCTGGGGATGTTGAGAAATGACAAACTAGAGTTTAGAAATCTAATATGTTCTTGATATTATTTTTATCATTTATTTGTAATAGATAATATTAAGGATTTTTATTCTTAGTAAATTTATAGGTTAGTACACAAGTAAGTAATTTAGCTAATGTATAGTTTCAAGAAAGAGAGTTATTAGAGCACTCTTTATAGAAATAGCAAGTAGTTACCTCTGAACTCGTAAGTTTCTTCTAAACCAGTGGTTCTCAACCTTGGCTGCACATTAGAATCACCTGGGAATCTTTTTAAAATCCTGATTTCTGGGCCTCATCATTACTAACAAACAGAATTTCCGGAGGATGAGGCCCAGAAATCAGGATTTTAAAAAGATTCCCAGGTGATTCTAATGTGAAGCCAAGGTTGAGAACCACTGTTCTAAACCTTTCCCCACTATATATATAGTCTAGTTTTAGTTAGTAAATCTTTTTTTAAATAAACCTGATGTGTCTATTGTGAACATATTGGTACATTTATTTGCCAATTTAACTTTACTATAACTCAGCACCCATATCAAATATTAGCTTCCCATAAATTAATTTAATAACAAATAACATGCAAGACACTATGTTAGGTATTGCGAGAGTCTAAGATAAATATATTGCCCATGCTCTCAAAGGGCTCATAGTTCTTATACTCCACCATCTAACTTGGCATTATTAATGCACTTTGGTGATGTCTTGCTAACCAGAATATAATATCTTTATGTGAAAGATTTTATACACCACTATAATCATCATCAGAGCAACAGTGATAATATGATAAAGAGTTTTATAGTTTTATTTGTTATAGTCTTAAAATGAGTAGAATTTTTATTATTTAGGGTCAAACTGAGGTAGGCTTTAAAAAGTAATGCTATCTATTTTTAAATTAAAGAATGCTTACTACTGTCTCCTGACAGAATTTATGTTTTCAGTTTTATATTTTTGTGCTAATGAATTTTTTTATTTAATAACTATATCCAGGAAACTGCAGGTAAAATAAAAAAATTGTGCGTTAGGTATCTAAGAAAAATGTATGGGATATTTTAATTTATTGAGAGTATGAAATCACAGTTTGGCATACCTGTCCCGGAACAGACATTTATGTATGATTATATCAATTTGGTTTTATAACCATGTTTGTTTTGATAAGATTTGCAAGATAAATTCATATAGCATACCAAAGAGCAATGGTGGGTTATATCTTGCAGATTAAAGTTATAATAACTTGCTTTTGAGTTCATAATTGTTTTTCACCTGTACTTTCCATCTGTCAAGGACAGGGATCCCTGCGATGGTCATATTCTGCATTCTCGTGTGCATGGTACTTAGATTCAAAAAGTGTGGGTTGGGGAAAGCTCCTTATAGAAAGACAGATTCACAGCATTCATGCTGCATGCTTTATGTGATCCACTGCAAATATTGCATGCTGTATACTTGTATTTCTCTGAAAATGAAGAACATAGGCTCATACACACATAAAAATTTAGTTTCATTTTTGCCAATAGTTGGAACAGATAGAGGAATGTTAGACATAATACCTTTTCTATTTTTTCTAAAATGAATTCTGTTGTATTTTTCAAAAAAAAAACTTGTTATTTAAACCCAAAGTGGCTACAAATCAGCTCCTAAACTGTCACTGACATTAGCATCTAGATTTTGTAGTTTTTACATATCTTTTAAAATATTTATTTACTAAGAAAAGATTGCATTAATGCATGATACAAAATTGATAAATTTTTCTTTAAATTGGAATGCAGTTTAAAATGACTGAATTTTCCAATTTCAGCTACTGAATTTGACAAGGATACAAACTGGAAAATGGAACTGGTATCATCTAATTGCTTTAAGTTTTTTGATTTATGGTAGTTGGGAATAATCTCCGTGTGGCATTATGTAGATCACATTGTTAATGTTAATATTTATTACTATGCTGTTTAACCTTTAAAGTAATGAATATTATGACTGAATTCAGTTCTTTCGATGATTTAAGTGTTTTCGTACATGTTTTCATTTTAAAAATAGATCTTTGTCAGGTGGCTTTTGATTATCTAAACATTGGCATTCTTACATTTCACTTGTTATATTATAATTGATATGAATGTTACAATTCCAATAACTGCATATCACAATTTTAAGTCTCATCATTCCATTTTAAAATAGTGGCATACTTGGCTATCGATAAAACTTAACTTTACATTTAAACATATCTTTAATTGTCTGCCATGTTACCTATTTTTATTGTGTATACAATTATAAACCTTCCCACATATTATACAAGATGAAATGGTATTTGTAAGATTTTAGGACTGACAACCTCCAACCCTAATATTATCAGTGTGTCTCTGAGGTTATGCTATTAAGGATTTAAAGTAGTATTATTTTCCAATGAGCTCTTCTGCCAGTTGCCACATATTTTGAAAAGATCTACTTAAATCTTTTTTGCTAAGCATAATAGATAAATGGTCTTATTTAAAAAAAACCTTTTTTATAGGAACCAATTCTGGTGATCTCCAGAGATTTTTCTTGCTTAATTCTTTGTTGTTAGATTCTGGCCAAAAAAATTTGCTATTACTCAGAGTATATTAGGAAATTCCTTTAATAGTTTAAATCAAGTGGGCCCTTAAAGAGAGAGGAAATGGATAGTGGTAACCAGTTGCTGAGTGTAATCAAGTACTTTATATAAGAAATCCATCCAATAATCTGTCCTTACTCTGCTTTTCATTCTGCCATTTAAGACGGATTTATTATTTTAGAGATTATGGTTTTGAACTACCACTTCCAACTTCTTAAGACCCTCACCAGTGGTTAACTTACTTATCTCCTACAACCTGGCATGTTCCAAATCAAACCTTTTTCAGTTTTATTCTTCTAGATTATAGTGACAATAATCAGTGACAGAGTGACGGTACCAGTTCCATTTTGCCTCCAATTCAGTTGATTAAATATTTTTCTCTTTATTTTTTATTTTATAATTGATATCTGGAATAATCAGCAGCTCTTTTCTCATTTATTTTCTCATATTTTTATTCCAGGATTTGCCTCTGAAGCAGGGAGTGTCTGCATTAAAAATGACCTGTAGTTCTCTGCTTCATAGGTTAGAGACTTATTTTAATATTTTGTGGCTAAGCACAGTCCCACTTTTCAAATTCTGTAATAAATTATTTAATTGGCATTGAATGTGGACCACAAGCATATATTTTATATTGGGGTTTTCTTTATTATTTTAAATGATTAAAATTCAACCGAACATCCAGCTGAGGCAATAAAAGCTTTATTCTTGCTTTACAGCTTAAAACATTAAATTAGATTTTTTGAAAAATCAATTTAGCACAAGTAAAATAATTCTATTTGGGCATTTTTTAAAAAAATGCATTTCTTAGGCCTTCTATTGCTTGAAGCATTGATATTCTAAAACTTAACCAAATTCTAACTATTCATTTTGGGGAAAAACAATCAGTTCACAAATCATATTTTCAATGGGACTGCTAGCCAGCATAGGTGAAAACATGTATAGTGTATTTACTCTTAAATTGTACACTGCAGATGCTTCTTCAGCTCCCTCCTCTTCCTCCATGGGCGGTGCTTGCAGCTCCTTTACCACCTCTTCCAGCCCTACCATTTATTCTACCTCAGTCACCGACAGCAAGGCTATGCAAGTGGAGAGCTGCTCCTCAGCCTTGGGGGTAAGTAACAGAGGGGTAAGTGAAAAGCAGTTAACCAGTAACACAGTCCAGCAGCATCCATCAACACCGAAGAGGCACACAGTCTTGTACATCTCACCACCACCTGAGGACTTGCTGGATAACAGTCGGATGTCCTGCCAGGATGAGGGGTGTGGATTGGAATCTGAGCAGAGCTGCAGTATGTGGATGGAGGATTCCCCCTCCAACTTCAGTAACATGAGCACCAGTTCCTACAATGATAATACTGAGGTACCTCGTAAATCACGAAAACGAAATCCAAAGCAGAGGCCGGGGGTCAAACGACGAGATTGTGAAGAGTCTAATATGGATATATTTGATGCCGACAGTGCCAAAGCACCTCATTATGTGCTTTCTCAGCTTACCACGGACAACAAAGGCAACTCAAAAGCAGGAAATGGGTTGGTATTCACATTTTTTTTAAAGTTCTATCACCATTATGCAAAACAACAACAACAAAATGATTCCCCACTTTTCTTAATTGCTTAACTCAAGTATGCATCTGAAGCAAAGATACTAATTTTATCATTGAAATACCTGAAAATTTTAACTTAAAATTACCAAGTTTCACTAGAGAAAAAATAAAATATCAAAAGATTTTAGCAATAGTTATCTTATTATGGATGTGATTAAGTAGTATAAAATAAAATAATGTTTTGAAATAACTTAAATTTCAAATAGATTTATATTTTAAAAGGATTTAAGGATATTTTTACTCATACAAATAACTAGCATGTAATGGCTCTAGCTGAAACAACTCAAAACATTCACAAAGGACTTGTTTTTCTTTTCACATTGTCTCTCCATATGATTCAATCTGTTTCCATTTTTGTGAGGGTTTTAGACTTTATTTTTCTTTTATTTCATAAAAATAAGAAAAAACTGATTGATGGCTTGATTTTCATCATTTAGATTTATGTATTTATTTTAAGCTTTTTTGTATACAGTGTGCTGATTTGGGATTTTTAATTTAATTTATTCCATCACCATTTGTCCCCTCTGTGCCCTCTTCCACATCCACAATGCTGCCCACACCCCACCCCCACAATCACAGTGTTGTCTATATCCATGAGTTCTCTCTTTTTCTCTTTTTTGCTTAGTCTCTCCCCCTCCTCCCCACGCAACATCCCCCTCCCACTAGAGCTATCTGGAATTTAATGAACAAATTGAACTGCCAAGCAAAATAGAGACAGACTCATACATCGAGAGCAGGCAGACAGCTCTGATTTGGGATTTTAAAAAAATACATCATGAAATTTTTTTCTATGATTCTGGTTTATGTATTTGAAAGATGATAGAATGGAATCATAGTACATGTTTGAGTTTACATTGATTTCTGCCAGTTCACAACACTCTCTAAATATATTTCTGTAACTATATTACAGAATATTCACTGCTATATAGTACAGAATACTGACTTATTTTTAACTTTTAAATTCCTTTAGTACTTTGATTGTAATATTTAATTGCTAGACTTCTTAATTAGAGTTTCCTATAGTGTGTTCAACATAGTTTGATAAAAATTAACACATTGGATTTTGAGAGATGTTTTTTGGGGAAGCAGGGTATGGTCCTTTAGTTGCTCCAGGATCTATAATTTCAGGTTGTCACAAAAGTGATGAAGAAGCTTTTGATTGAGTTACTACTTGATGACATCATTGATATCTTTTAAGTTAAAAATCTAATTGAGTAGTATCAGAGTATTTTTAATGTATATTAAACTTGTCCTTAAATATTCTCTCAGTATATTTTGAAAGTAATACTTACCATTTAAGCAATAATTACTCTCTGCTACTTGCTTCTCTACTCTTACTTAAAACTTTTTGGTATGATGCAGTTAAGTGAAAAATGCACTTTAACGGTTTTTTATTTTTAGAAAGTCCAGATTAGGAAATTATTTAAAAGAAAACAAGTATACCCTTTCTTAAAATGTTGCCACTAGCAGATTCAAGAATTCTAGAACATATTTGTAGAACTATTACCTATGTAATAATGTTCTGAAAACATAGCAGCACAGAACTAAAAGGCTCATGTACATCTATCATTAAATACAGATATGTGTTTATTTGGGTTTCAGTGGAGAGAGGTTTTTTTTTAAGTTCCAGAAGAGAGATTTTTATTTTTATTTATTATAAATAAATGTTAAAGTTTCAAATGAAAACAAAAAAATTTTTGACTTGAGAGTTAGTCAACACACTTGGTTTGTAGTTGCTATTAAAGAGATAACTTAGAACAAGCATGTCAAACTCAAAGGCTAACATGGGCCAAATAAACAAGGTTTAAGTTTACGTGGGCCGCAAAAAAATAAAAGCTTCAGTTTTCATAGAAATGTAAGTTTATTTTGATAGAGACATGCTGAATACAAAGGGCTGAAATAAATGAGTAATCGTTAACATAAAATAATAGAACATTTTAATAAAAATTAATATTTTTTCTTGAACATTAACTTACCAGACACTGAATAATGCACAAATTAATAAGCATAACGCAAATAAACCTATTTTTCTTGTTCTCCAAAAGCGAAATGTTTCCTGTTGCATACACCAAACAAGTCAGTCCAAGACTAATGATGTGGCCATCGGCTGCTAAAATATTAGCTGCTAGTATTACTGGAGAGAAATGGTGCACCTGCACATAAGGTGCGTAAGGGAAATGAATGCAACACGATTATAGTAATCAGTCATTAGTGAGCATTGTAGTTCGTTATTAATAATTATGTATAACTGGTTATTGTAAAAATTAAGTTATGAAATTTTCATTAAAACGTTTCTTACATACCGTTATATTGAATGGGCCGCAAAAATATTCATTGTGGGCCGCTTGTGGCCTGAGGGCCACGAGTTTGACATGCTTGACTTAGAACATCCTTTAAACTGCTAGAAGGGATACTGCCCCATTCATAAGTTGTTATTAAAGCGAATTAGAACTTGTAAAAATAACAAATAAACATGAAAGATATCTTGAGCTATATTTTTTCTGCTTCTGCTTTTGTATGACAGATATATCTTAGAAATGATTTGAGGTTACTCAGGGAAAGTATAACAACATTTGTCAAGACAAAATCTCTCGTGAAATAATTAATGAAACAGGAACTCATCAAGCAGGAGAAGAAATGTCCAGCTTCTTAGGTAGTGAAAAATACTTAACTCTGGCATATGGAAATGATGGCAGAAGTTTAAATTTTGAATTATTAAGAACTATATCAAGAAAAGGAAAAAACCATATGTAAATATAGAGAAAATTAGGCCTTTGAGGACAATTATTCTTCAACAAGAAAAATGTTAGGAACATGAAACATACTTAGAAATGTTTTGAGAGATAGGTATAAAGCCTTAAATCTAATATTCCTAAACTTACAATTTATGTAATGCTAAATTACAGAAAATGTACTCTCAAATATGTTCTGTACCTCAGTTTATTGATCTTTAAGATGGAAATAGCATTTTTATGTGATTAAAATGTTATATAAGTTATGCCGTGGCCGGTGTTGCCCAGTGGTTAGAAATGTCAGCCTGGCCACTAAAGGGTCTCGGTTGGTTTTGATTCCTATTCACGGACACATACCTGGGTTGCAGGTTCGATCTCAACCTGGCCCTGGTTAGGAGGCATGTGGGAGGCAACCAATCAGTATGTCTCTCTCACATCAATGTTTCTCTCTTTCCCCCTCTTTCTCCATCCCTCTCTCCCTTCCACTCTCTGTAAAAAAATCAATGGAAAAAATATCCTCAGATGAGGATTAACCAAAAAAGAAAGGTTATATAATAGAGTTTATTAAGAAAACAAAACTATTTAAAAAAAATATTACTCAGTATTTAACGATTCCTAGCCATATCATTCTTAAATTCTTCTACTAAATTTCCTGAAACTCAGTAGCCCTATATTTCTTCTAGGTAGTCCTAGAAATTAAGATACGATGTTATCTTGATGTGAAACCTTTTTTGGGCATTTTATAATGAAAATTATTTTTGTGACATAGACAACCAGAAGACTATGTAGAACAAAGGAATTAGAATGTCATTTTAAGACTTCTGAATAGAATATGCCAAGAGAGTGGATTTTATTTTTAGATGCCATTTAGAAGTAAAATTCATTCAATCAAACTGATACTTTCTTGTTTTTTCTTAAGCCATCTTGCCTTAAAAATTAGTAATTTGAGTGACTAATAATTAGTTGATGTTTTCCATAGTTTTATGTCTAGAAATCTAAAGATATATGTATTCTATTTTTACATTTAAACCTAGGGATAGTTTTAAGGGCTTTTAAAAGTATCATTTCATAAATTGTTTAATTACATGTGCTATGTTTTTTTAAACCCTATTGTGTATACTTTGTCAACTCACTCAACAGTCTTCATTCCAGTATGAAATATTTTGTTTTACTGAAATAGTGAAACTCATTATCAACTATTCTCATAAATATTAGCTTCACTAGCATAAGTGAATATAAAACCATATCTTGCCAAATTAGGTGATATGCTAAATTTTCTTTATATCAAACTAAAGTATGCCCTTTTCTATTATAAAATTAATAGGTGTTATTTGGAAACTGCAGAAATAGAAGAAAATAAATAACTTAAAGTCTAGTTATTCAATACAACTATTAGAATTTTGCTGTATTTCCTTTTAGTCCCTTTCAATGCATATTTGGGAGATTTTTTATATTAGATTCAGTAAGTAAATATTTTTACTTTTAAAATGATTAAAAAACAGAATATCATTATAAAATTTTATAAGTAAGGGATTCCACATTACATTCAGAGCAAATGTTTGCATTTCAACTCAGAACGATGAAAAGAAAAATAGGATTTATTGCCCATTGTTCCAGTTTCAACTTAGTACTTTGTTCATAGGATTTATTCTTCCAGGGCCTTTTAAATGACTTACTCAGGTAATCTTTGACTTATTATGTCAAACTTACTGGCATGCCATAGCCACTTACTATTATAGAAGCTCCTTTTTTCCTCTGCTTTCCTTTCCTTGTCTCTTTCTTCTTCCTATTTGTTTGTAAAAGTTATAAACAAACTTTTTTTTTTCAGCACCTACTCTTTAAGGAATTGTACAAGATTCAGGGAATATGAAAATGATTCAACACTACTTGTCCACAAAACTCTTCTTATCCAGTCAGTTTTATTACATCCCTTTGTATCCCTTCTTTCCTTCATTCTTCTGTCCCTTTCTTAGTCATAGTTTGTACTCTGAATGGAACCAGGACTGGTTTTGTTATTGATAATTTGAGGCAACAACTTGGTTAGAGATGGAGGGGTAAACATTAGAGCCAGTTTATGGCTACTTAACCACCATGGCTCCTCTATGTTTGAAGTCATAATATTCCTCCTGGGGCCTATTTGTTTTAGGAGGAAATTTTGTCCATAGTCGTCTCTTGGCTTCTGTATTGTCAATGTGAGTATAAACTTAGGACTGAGAAGGTCCCATAGAAAGTATTATAGGCCCTGACTATTTTTAAAAGTGCATGGATAATTTCAACCTTTTACTTTTTAAAATGTATCTTTATTGTTGAAAATATTACAAATGTCCCCCCTTTTTCCCCATTGACCCCCTTCACCTCAACCTATTTTAAAACTAACAATATTGTTTTCTATTTATTTTTATGACATATTTGCAGTGCTTCAGATTAAATGTGTCTACCTGAAGTCCTAACCACCATTTGAAATATTTTTCTTTGAATCTATATTCCACATAGAAAATGAATGATAAACAAAATAAACATTAGAAACACAATAAAAAAAAAATAAGTTAGCTCTGTCAGGTCTGCTCAGTGGTTAGAGCATTGGCCCTCACACCAAAAGGGGGTTTGATTCCTGGTCAACGGCACGCACATGGGTTGCAAGTTCAATCCCCAGCCCTATTAGGGGGCATGTGGGAAGCAACCAGTCATGTGTCTCTCTCACAGCAATGTTTCTCTCCCTCCCTCTTCCCCTCCCTCTCTCCCTACCTGTCTTCTTTTCTTCCCTCCCTCCCTCTCTCCTTTTCCTCCTTTTCTCCCTCTTTCCTTTCCCTCCCTTCCTCCTCCTTTCCCTTTGCTTCCTCCCTCCCTCTCTCCCTTTCCTCCTTCCCTCCCTTCTACTCTCTCTAAAAATCAGTGGAAAAAATATCCTCAGGTGAAGATTAACAAAAATAATAATAAATAAAAATACGTTAGATTGCTTATCAGTAAAGCCCAGATTATAAAATTTTTATGCACTAAGAGCTTTAATAATTTTATCGCAAAAAATATGCTCTAAAAAATTATACTTCCGGGAAAGATTGTATAAAGTTAATTTCCAATAAAAATTGAATCACTGCTTTTTTAATTTATAATTTTCTCAGTTTGATATCCTGAGAAAGCTATCCAAAAGAATATTTTACATGTACCTTCAGGTTTTCTTTAAGGCCCATTGTTTGCTTGTTTCTTTTTTGCTACCCCCACTTTTTTTTTTTTTGCTTTGCAAGTCTGATTAGAAAATAATGGTATAGTTAATCTCATAGCTTTATATAACACTCACATATATATATGTAATTTAAAAAATTTATTTTGACTGAAGTACAATGTGAAAGGTTATAAGTGACATTAGCTATATTCTTTCCTGTTATTCCTAGTTTATTGCATTCAATCTTCCTTCTTCCTACCACATATATGCATTCTTTGTCTTGCCCTGTCCAAACTTTCTTTTATTTTTGCATCATTAATTAAATTTTATTACGAAATTTTAAAATATACTTTGTTATGGAATGTATCTTCCCCTAGGCTATATTTTATTTTGTCATTAAGATAATCAGTTGTTTTGAAAGTTACTGCCTATTCTGTTTCCTCCTTTATCTTTTATTACGAAATTTTAAAATATACTTTGTTATGGAATGTATCTTCCCCTAGGCTATATTTTATTTTGTCATTAAGATAATCAGTTGTTTTGAAAGCTATTCTCTATTCTGTTTCCTCCTTTATCTTACATGACTTTTGTAAAAAAAAAAAAAAAAAAACAACACTTTTTGATGCTTTTTCCACGTTGTGCTTTGACTTCTCAGAACATTGGAAAATCAAAAAGGAACTGGAGTAAAAAAAAGCCCTATGTTGAGTGGACAGTATCCTGTTAAAAGTGAGGGAAAAGAGCTGAAGATACTTATACAACCTGAGACCCAGCATAGAGCTCGGTACCTGACTGAAGGTAGCCGTGGCTCAGTCAAGGATAGAACACAGCAAGGCTTTCCTACAGTAAAGGTACTTTTTTATTTAGCAATATATGAAGAATTTTCTCGAGTTTCATTTATTTTGTTTTTAACCAGCAAAAGCTGCCTGAAATAGAAGGATAGGCTTGTTAACTATATATAATAGAATTAAAGTAAAAGTCTGACTGAACCCTAAGATAAATATTGTTGCTTTGATGTCATTTGAATTTTAGTTTAAATGGAAGGAAATGATAATGTGTTCTGATAAGAAAAATATCTGGAAATCATGAATTTTCTTCCTCTTATTTTTGATATTAGTAGCAACCATAATAGATTCTTCCAAAGCTTTATATTTAAGAAGAAATTTTAAAGTGAATTCAGATAAATATTTCAGAAATTATTATGAATTTAAAAAATAAGGGTTTTGAAATGGCTAGTGTAATCAGGACTATTCAACTCAGGAAAGGATCAGTTGATAGGTAACGTAAGTCTTCAGTTTAAGAACTAGGATATCAACTGAGTCTTCATCTTTTCAGAACTTAGACTAATGACTAAAGGGGGCTCAAATTTTAGCACCTAGGCTACCTTGTTACAAAGAATATTTCTCTTTGAAGACAAACCAAAAAAATTGGGTAGGGGGTGTTTAACAAGTGTTCTAACCCCCTGCAAAATACCAAACCGGTTGGAATATTGCCTAGTCACATGGTAGATTCTTGATAAATACAATTTGTGTAAATGTGTTAGTTGAATAATATTTAGTTGGACTGCCTTTCGTTTTATACTTGAATGAAATAATGGTAGAAACTTGGGATCAGGAAACTTACGGTCGGTTAATAGTCACATGTACAATATCATTTCTGCCCCTCTACTACTCACTACATTAAGCATGTTGTCAAACTCAAAGGCTAACATGGGCCAAATAAACAAGGTTTAAGTTTATGTGGGCTGCAAAAAAACAAAAACTTCAATTTTCATAGAAACGTAGGTTTATTTCAATAGAGACATGCTGAATACAAAGGGCTGAAATAAATGAGTAATCGTTAACATAAAATAATAGGACATTTTAATAAAAAATAAAATTTTTTCTTGAACTTTAACTTACCAGACACTGAATAACTGCACAAATTAATAAGCGTAACACAAATAGACCTATTTTTTTTGTTGTTGTTGTTCTCTGAAAGCGAAATGTTTCCTGTTGCACACACCAAACAAGTCAGTCCAAGACTAAGGACATGGCATTCGGCTGCTAAAATATTCGCTGCTGGTATTAGTGGAGAGAAATGGTGCGCTTGTGCATAAGGCGTGTAAGGGAAATGAATGCAACACGAGTATAATAATCAGTCATTAGCGAACGTTGTAGTTCGTTATTAATAATTATGTATAACAGGTTATTATAAAAATTAAGTTACGAAATTTTTATTAAAACTTTTTTTTTATATTTTTATTGATTTCAGAGAGGAAAGGAGAGGGAGAGAGAGATAGAAACATCAATGATGAGAGAGAGTCACTGATCGGCTGCCTCATGCTCACCCCACACGGGGGATGGAGCCTACAACCCAGGCATGTGCCCTGACCGGGAATCGAACCGTCGTGACCTCCTGGTTCATAGGTCGATGCTCAACCACTGAGCCACGCCAGCCAGGCAAAACGTTTTTTACATACCGTTATATTGGCTGGGCTGCAAAAATATTCGTTGTGGGCTGCGAATTTGACATGCTTGTACTACATGAATCAATCCTCAGTCCCCTAAACTCAAAACAAGTAACAGGCAAGTGAGAAATTTAAACTTAAGATTTTCTGCAGAAACTTAGTCAACTCTCCTTTATGAAAATATTTTACCTCTCTTTTTCTTGAGGATTTAAATTATGTCTTTATTATAACCCAGTTATAAGTATAAGACTTGGTACTAAATGCTTAATTTTACAATTTGATTATTTGAAAGGCTAATTAGTGTTTATGCTCCATGTTATCTCACTCCAGCTGGAAGGCCATAATGAGCCAGTAGTGTTGCAAGTGTTTGTGGGTAATGACTCTGGTCGAGTGAAACCACATGGATTTTATCAGGCCTGCAGGGTAACTGGGCGAAATACAACTCCCTGCAAAGAAGTGGACATTGAAGGCACTACTGTTATAGAAGTTGGCCTTGATCCGAACAACAACATGACACTAGCGTAAGTACTTAATAAAAATTTTTTTGTTCTCTCTATATATTGTAGGCAAGAACATTTTTTAGTTTCTACAAGATTTTGAGTATTTTATTAAAATGTTTATAAAAATAGATTATTAAAGAATGGTAATGGTTTAAAATCAACTCTTACTCTTTGCTAGAGAATTCCTGTCATGAAAGGCAGGGAAATAAAAGCCCGGTAGAATGCTGGCTTTTTGGAAAATAATATGCTTATTTGTTGGGATTAACAATATTAACAATAAAAATAAAAATTACAATTTGGTTTGCTTTCCTAATTTCTGTTAATGTTTGTTTTAGAAGCTATTTAACAGAGATCATTTATGGCTCCTTGACCCATCTTTTAATTAGTTAATTAATTTTTAAAAAGAATAGTTAATTGATTTTTAAAGAGAGGATAAGGGAGAGGGAGAGAGAGAGAGAGAGAGAAAACATCAATGTGAGAATGTAACATCAATTAGCTGCCTCCTGCAGGCTCCCTTCTGGAGATTGAGCTCACAGCACTGCATGTGCCCTTGACTGGGAATCAACACGACAACCTCCTGGTGCACAAGACTATGCCCAACCAACTGGGCCACACTGGTGAGGGCACACCTCTCCCTTCCCCTCTGTAAAAAATCAATAAAATATATTTTTTTTAAAAAGAAGAAGTTGATTGGAAAAGAAATGTTTGAAAAATATTCAGTAAAGCCTGGCTAATGGTTTAGTGGTTGAGTGTCTACCCATGAACCAAGAGGTCATTAGATCGATTTCCTGTTGGGCAGGACACATGCCCTGGTTTCAGGCTCTCAATCCCCAATCGGGGGTGTGCAGGAGGCATCCGTTTGATGATGTTTCTCTCTCATTGATGTTTCTTTCTCTCTATGCCTCTCACTTCCTTTCTTTCTAAATATAACAACTTTTTTTAAAAGAAGGGTTATAGTAGAAGAAAGGAAGGGAATAATCTATATATATAAAAGTCTATATATATATAAAAGCCTAATATGTAAATTGTCCCCTCGGGAGTTCGACCGGGAGCCGGGAGTTCGATCACTCACTATGACCTGCGCTGACCACCAAGGGGTGGTGCAGAACAAAGGAAGGCCCTGGCCGGCAGTCAAAAGGCCCTGATCGGCCCTGATCGCCGGCCAGGCCTAGGGAGGGGACCCTACCTGTGCATGAATTTTGTGCACCGGGCCTCTAGTTGATTATAAAAATAGTACCTGCCCTAGCTGGTTACCTCAGTGGATAAAGCGTTGACCTGCAGACTGAAGGGTCCCAGTTCAATTTCATTCAAGGGCACATGCCCAGGTTGCGGGCTCAATCTGCAGTAGGGGGCGTGCAAGAGGCAACTGATCCATGATTCTCTCATCATTGATGTTTCTCTCTCTCTCTCTCTCTCTCTCTTCCTCTCTGTAATCAATAAAAATATATTTAAAAAATAGTATCTAAACATTGTAAGTTGAGAATACAGAATAATTGAAAATAATAAATAAATAAAAATCATAAAAAGCTAATACGATACCCCTTAAAAGCCAACTTCCCAGAAATAACCACAGCCGATGCTCTATTCACTGAGCCAAACTGGCTAGGGCTAACCTCTATTTTGATACTCATCTTTCCATCCTTTCTGATAAAATTGAAATAATATTGTGCCCACTGTTCTGTAACCTGCTTTTTACTTATTAGCATTTTCCCATAACATTAAATATCCTATATCATATGTTTTTATGGCTACTTAGTGTCCCGTTCTTGTTGGGATAATTACTAATATTTTAAAAAATAAAACCCATTTCCTCTATATCTGAATTAACTGCCAAAAGACAGGCTAAATTTATTTATTTAAAAAATAACACAGCAAAAGTACCTTTTGTAAATTATTACTTATGTTCAGATTTTGAAATAGTAATTTTACTTTTTTGTTGTTTTTCCCATTACAAATAAAAAGCTGACAAGATTAGGAATTAGGAATATTCATGATTTACCCTTCTGTACCTTTTGAAATTGGAATCTTATAATTATATTACATATTCAGAAATTAGTAATGAAGCAACTTTAAAAGAAAGAAACTTGTTTTTTTAAAAATACTGTATCATATGTACAACAGAAAATATCAGTTAATGTACTTTTTTCTGTTTTTAGGGTGGACTGCGTAGGGATATTGAAATTGAGAAATGCTGATGTTGAAGCCAGAATAGGAATTGCTGGTTCCAAGAAAAAAAGCACTCGTGCCAGATTGGTTTTTCGAGTTAATATCACAAGGAAAGATGGCTCCACTTTGACACTGCAGACACCCTCTTCTCCGATTTTATGTAGTAAGTAAGAAAGTAGGAGATATTGCCAGCCCACACAGGCCAGGCAGCAGGACGGGTGGATGCAGGATGGGGGGGTGGGGTTGGGGAGGGGGAGAGGCGGAAGAAAGGAGGAGATATTAAATATATGGAGGTGTTTTTTTTTTATTTCTATAATCTTTCAGACAGTCTAAATTTCAGATGTTTCACGTACTCAAGCTTTTGATCATGCAAAATTTGAAGCATTAAAAGCTATGGTCAAATTTTCTAGACTAAAATTCAAAGGATGTGTAGCATTTTGTAGTTTTCCAGTATCGTCCTATACTGATTTAAGACGTACTGTAAATAGTTTACCAGAAGTAAATTGGAAAGCCAAAGGATTTTCCCAGCATCTTCACTGTGTGATAAATTGCTATGACCCTGTGTTTTGAACATAAGAAACAGTAGGTAAAAGATACATGCACCTACCTATGTTCATTGCAGTATTATTTACAAAAGCCAGGAAATGGAATCAACCTGGGTATCCATCAACAGATAAATGATTTAAAAAAAAAAAGATATATTTATACACACAATTGAATATTACTCAGTTATAACAAAAAAGAAATCTTAACATTTGTAAGAACATGAATGGGCCCAGAGGGCATTATGCTAAGTGAAATAAGTCAGACAGATAAACAAATATTGTATAATTTTATTTATATGTAGAATCTAACAAAAACAGAAACAAATGAACAAAAAAAAAACAGAAACAGAAGCCTAGATACAGAGAATAAATGGTTGGTTGCCAGAGAGGGAAGGAGAGTATGGGTGAAAAGGTAAAGGAATAATAAGAGGTACAAACTTCCAATTATAAAATAAACTAGAGGCCCAGTGCACGGATATGTGTACTGGTGGGGTCCCTCGGCCTGGCCTCTGGGGATCGGGCCAAAACCAGCTCTCCGACATCCCCTGAGGGGTGCCACATTGCAAGAGGGCACAAGCCAGGCCTGGGGACCCCACCAGTACACGGGCACCGGGCCTCCGACATCCCCCGATGGGTCCAGGGTGCGGGTGAAGCAGATTTGGGGCTGACAGTGCCCCAGCAGCAACCTAACACACGGCAGATTCCGCAAGGAATTGGGCTTCCTCCTCTACTGGTTGAAGTGTCTGCCCCCGATGGTCATTGCATGTCATACCTACTGAGTGAATGGTCGGACGGTCGCTTAGGCTTTTATATATATTGATAAGTCACAGGTATGTAATATATAACACAGGGAATATATCTAATAATATCATAATTTTGTTCAGTGACTTATTGGGGTGGTCATGTCATAAGGTTGAAAATATCAAATCACTATGTCATATACTTGAGAATAATATAATAATTTATGTCAACTATACTAAAAGAAAAGAAACAGTAAGGTAAGCAGAACTTTATAAATATGCAGCGGTTGGAGTTCTGATTACAAATTAGAGCATTATAATATAGCATTGGGAAATGAGAAATGAAATTCTTATTTTGCTAAACTTGGCATAGAAAGTAAATGACATGTGTGTATCTAAATTCAATCATGCTGTTGAATGCACCTCATCATATATTCTGGTTTCCCCTTAATGAGTATTATTACAAGTAATAAATAGAAAAAATTTTCCTTTATACACACTCAAGAAGATTTTCATCAAGTATAATTTTCTTTGGCATTTTTTCTTTGTAATTTATAACTGAATTCAAAAGAATGGACGTGACCCATTCCATTCAGTTAAATTTCCTATTGGGATGTTATGAATATTTTGACCTTGCTTCCCTTTAGGACAGTTACAGAGCCTTTGTTATTTAATTGTAGCTTAGTTTTGTCAAATTATGTATCCTTTATAAATCTTGCATTTCCTTTTAATTCATCTCAGAAATTATTGTACCCATACTTTAGCTTAGCAAACACCCTAATTTTAAAAAGAAAGTACTAAAATATCTTTTTGATCTTAAGACAGCTCAAATGGATTTCTCTTTTTCATTATTATGAAAAATTTGTTTTAATATTAGTATTTCCTTGGGTGATTTCTGTGTAATGTTCAGTTATAACTAGGCTGCTCTTAAAGATCATAGGTTCCATGTTCATTCTACCACATTCAAATAGGGACGGAGTAAATAATCTGTAGATGGTTTATTGAGTTCTAAAGCTTTTCTAATAGGGGTACTTCAATTTTGAATTTACTGTAATTCACAAGATGTCCCAACTTGAATATTATTGGGATGGAGTTCCAATTTTAGCAGGGCATATGCAGTTCTTCTTTTACATGATCTAATACTTTGAGTCTGACCATAGCTACTCTCTGAAGGCCAGACCCAGGAGATGCTAGATAATTTAGACCATACTGCTTTAGCAGGGACTGGGAGATGCTGGCCAACTTTATTTAATTGTTTGTTCCTTCTTTCATTACTTTGTTCATTTATTTCTTCATTTTTCTATTCATTCATTTGTTAAAGTATAGCTACGGTACATCCAGCTAAAGGTGGTAGAAAATATGAAAGAAATAGAAAACATGATTTTCTAAAGTTTTTTATCTGTAATTATTATTATCATTTGTTAATTATCACTGTTAATGATAATATATGTCCACATTGTCAAAAAAGTATCTTCCTGGGAGGTTATGTCTGAAGTGAAAAATGAAAGCCCTAAGAAGCAGCATACAGGGGAAGGCATATATAGCTAATAATAAAAGTTATCATGTTTTGAACTCTGTGTGCGACGGATTTTCTTAACCACTTTATAGGCATTATATTGTTTAACCCTCACCATCACAGTATATATGGATTCCATTTTACAGGTGATAAAACTGAGACTTAAAGAGATTAAATTACTTCCTCAGCTAGTAAATAGTAAGACCAGGATTCTAAGCTTGTGCTTTTAGCCACTATATTATATTGCCACCATGATCACTTAAATTGCAGTGCTGAAAAATCAAGTTTGAACAATTCATTTTATTGTAGCCATAGCCTTTGCATGGTTAGGACTGTGGTTACAGTATGAAATTAGGTTAGAGACCTGTTTCCTCTACCTAGGAGATTTATGTTTTGTAATTTAGATTTTTTAATAACTTTAGAAAATAGATCAAAATTTGTATTGGGGGATTTTACTTGAATACCTATATTATCCCTTCTATTACATCTTGTAGATATCATTTATTATGAAGTATAGAATATTTACTTTTATCCCTTTAGTTGACTGTTGGGCACATGCCATCAGCTTAAACTGGATTAGATAAACATAGGCAGTACTTTCTTTTAAAGAAAGGGGTACCTTTTGCAGTGTACTTCCCATATCTGTTTTGGAAGAGGACATGTTAGAATAATAGTTTGCAAATAAATTTACACGAAAGCTCTAGCTTTCATTTTTCTTACTAAGGTTGCTATTTTCATAGAATTTCATGCACACTGATTTTTTCTCCAAACATTGTATAACTAGCTTAAAATATTTCTAATGGTAATTTCTATGAAAATCACTTAGATCTAATCATTTAGGCAAGAGTCTAATCCTCTTGATCTGCACACTCCTCCTAATGGGTTAATGATTTGATTTTTTTAAAGATCTATCATCCTATTTAATGAATGTCATCATTCTGTGTTCAAAATGTAATTTTATTTGATCATTAGAAGTTTTCATTAGATATATTACCAAAGGTGTATAGGTTGGTCAGACAGTCTTGCTTTATTGTTTAACTAGCAACAAAATGAAATATTTAAAAATGTTTAGCCCTAACCGGTTTGGCTCAGTGGATAGAGCGTCAGCCTGTGGACTGAAGGGTTCCAGGTTCGATTCCGGTCAAGGGCATGTACCTTGGTTGCGGACACAACCCTGGTGGGGAGTGTGCAGGAGGCAGCTGATCGATGTTTCTCTCTCGTCAATGTTCCTAATTCTCTCTCCCTCTCCCTTCCTCTCTGTAAAAAATCAATAAAATATATATTTTAAAAAATTTTTTTATTACTTTTAAATATTTTTGCTTAAATGTTAGACTGGATGAACAGAAAAAGGTTATTAACTAGTATTTTCGTGGTAATACCTTATCTTCATATTGTATCTATGTTTTATCAAGTACTTTCATATTGAGGTCTTAGGAAGTTAATAAATGTTCCCCTTATAATTGGAATTAGACACATAGGAGTTAGAGACATTGAGATGAAAATACCAATTTTACTACTGATCAAACTGACAGAAAAAAGACTGGCTTCTTCATAAATCTATCCACCTAGTCAGAGCAGCCCTCCACATTTGCAGGCTTCTTACACCTGGCAGCAAACAGCCTAAAATGTATGCTTTGTACAGGTAGGCAAATACAGAAGAGGGAGTAAAGAAGACTGGGCTAATCATGCCCAAGCCCAGCTTCTAACTCCTTAGTAATTACATCTTCCTCCTCTCTAGTGATCATTGCTCTAATGGAGTTTCCCACTAATAATTATACTACATTATCCCATTTAATCCTGACAATAACTTTGTGATGTTAGTAGAATAGAAATGGTTAGTTTCCTTTTTTTTATAAAACAAGAAGGGGAAGAAATCCTGTTTGTTCAAGGTAGGATATGGCAGATGAAAAAGACATCTGATTTTATTTGCCCATTGTTTAGAGACAATACTACAGAATATAGGAAGGATTTTATTTTGATCAACTGTAACATAATAGTGGATATACTTCTTACATTGTATAACATATAATTTATTGGTAGAGTATTGGCATATAGGTACTTAATTGATTATTTTAAATTTATATACAATCAGGTTCATGCTTTCTGTCTCATAAGAAGTTTCTTTTTTTATAATAGTTGACTGAGTTATAATTTGCAGACCATATAATTTAGCCTTTTAAAGTGTAAAATTAAGTTGTTTTTATTATATTCACAAAGTTGTGCAACCATCACCATTATCTAATTTTAGAACATTTTTATCACCACCTCAAAAAGAAAACCTGTACCTATTAGAAGTCACTCTCCATTCTCCTCTCACCCCAGTCCTTGACAACCACTATTCTTCTTTCTGTCTGTATGGATT